GTAATACACGACGCGCATGGGAAAGGCGTGGACAAAGTGTGCGAGACGGAGGCCGATCCCGCCGAGTCCGAGGATGCCGAGGGTGCGCGTGGAGAGGTCGTACGTCGCCCCGGACGAGATGGGGGCCTTCCAGGTGCCTGCGTGCAGGGAGCGTTCGGCGTTGGAAAAGTGGCGGAGGGTGGAGAGTATGAGGTAGAGTGCGGTCGTGGCGGTGGCTTCGTCGACTGCGCCAGGGGTGTGGGAGACGGTGATGCCTAGGGACAAGGGTGGGTGAGCCGAGGGCACGATCAGGCATAAGATGGACGGACGGACCGTGAGCAGCACATTCGAGGACGTCGATCTGATCGTACCCCGCCCCGTTGTGCGCGATCCATTTGACAGTGCCCGTCTCGGCGAGCGCACGCACGATCTCCTTGTCAAACACGCCGATCTGACCCGCGGAGTCGTTGTGGCGGTAGATCCCGACGATGCCGTCGAATTTTCCGCCTGGTTTTAGGCCTGCGAGAAAGTCGGCGCGGGTGGGCGAGTCCATACGCTGTGCCAAAGGGTAGAGGGTCAACATCACCGCATGATGGGAGGAGGAGGGACGTACCACGACGTCCGCGAGGTCGTCGAAGAGCTGTTTGACCTCTTCGTGCGCCCAGACAATGTCCCCTACAAACGATGCGATAATTAGCGTGCCACCGCGATCACAAAGGTCGTCTCATCTCACCGCAAATTAGGATTCGACGTAGAGCCATCGTTGCGAGGAGATTCAGATGCGAAAAAATAAAAATCAAGGAGAGGGACAAAGATGGGATCAAAAAATGGTATATGCACACGGGCCATTCATTAATTTACGACGACGCTCCGACACGGGCGACCGCCCGCCCCATCAGCAGGTCCTCCGAGGGAAAATCAAAGCTCATCGTGATACATTCTCGGTACGTTCGGTCCGGCGTTCCGCCCGCCTCTCATCTCAACTCGGGCACGAGGTCCTTGCCAGACCCCGTCAACAAGAAATCCCTCAAGTTGGTCATCGCGCGTACTTCCATCTTGCGTTCCGTATCCTGCGTGCGCGTCCCGACGTGCGGCAACAGCACGTTTTGCGGGAACGCGAGCAGCCGGGGATTCACCCGCGGTTCGTCTGGGTACACGTCCAAACCGACCGACGCCAACTACCACAACGTCAGCCTTGGTGCAGCCAACACGACGAAAAGGGGGGGACGCACGTGTCCATCCTCGAGTGCCCGAATCACCGCCTCCTCGTCTACCACCCTACCCCGTGCCGTATTCACAAGCACGCTGCCGCGCTTCATCACTCTCACCTCTCGCTCCCCGACCATCCCCCTCGTGTCCTCACGCTCAGCACGTCCGCCTCTCTGCACAGCGCCTCGAGGCTCTCCACATAGACACACCATTCCGGGACGTCGGTCCGGCGGTGCCGATTGTAGTAGAGCACGCGCATCGGAAAGGCGTGGGCGAGGTGGGCGAGGTGCAAGCCGATCCCGCCGAGTCCGAGGATGCCGAGGGTGCGGGTGGAGAGGTCGTGCGTCGCCCCGGACGAAATCGGGGTCTTCCAGGTGCCAGCCCGCAACGAGCGTTCGGCGTTGGAAAAGTGGCGGAGGGCGGAGAGGACGAGGTAGAGGGCGGTCGTGGCGGTGGCTTCATCGACTGCGCCAGCGGTGTTGGAGACGCGGATGCCTGGCGTGGAGGGCGATGAGACGAGATAAGACGGGGATGGGGTGCGCACCTTTCTCCTTGCAGGCCTGCACGTCAACGAGGTCGTATCCCGCCCCGTTGTGCGCGATCCACTGTACGCTGGGCGGGAGCCCCCCCACGAGCTCGCGATCGAAAATCCCGATACGCGCTGTGGAGACGTTGCGTCGGTAGATGCCCACGGTACCGTCGTATAGCTTGCTGGGTTGGAAGCGTGCAAAGAACTCGGCGCGGTCAGGCGCATCGTCGACCTGGATCAATGTCCGTCAACATGGGGATGCGCTTTGTACGCGGGCGTACGCACGATCACATGGGCTATGCCATCGAACAGTGTGTAGATTTCGTCGTGGGCCCATCTGGGGCTACCTGCCAGGAGATCATCATCGACCAGGAACGCGATAACAACGCCGATGCACTCTACCACAGATCATGATCTTTGGCAAAGTCGTCATTCCTTCTGGCAGCTACGATGCGGGAAATGATGCAGGACTCAGGATCTCAGTTGAATATCAGTCAGTTCCTCTCTGAAAAGGGATAATAATAAATAGTTTGGGGCATTCGTGGGTGGGCGAGACAATTATTAAACACGTCGTAATCAGTACAAAAGGAGACTAGACGAACAGAAAGGATATACATAGAAACACACCATTAATCTAAACGCCATCAGAACCATCCAAAACGCGCAAACCCGAAATGACCTCCATCTCAAGGACCTTTAATTCAAACGCGCACTTGAACGGCTCAAAGAGTTTACCTGGCACTGCAAACACAATCTGTTCAAAGACCCCCATGAACTTGGCGGGCTTCGCTTCCTCCTTAGCTCCGTCTGTTCCTTCCCGGGTTCCGCAGACCAACAACTCTGCCCATAGTTCGGCCACCATCTCGACGCTGTTTTGGCTGGAACCACATCCAAACGCACCCAGGACGAGTGCACGGTCACCACGGATCTCAAAGATGCGCAACGCGCGCGCCATGCGATCACGCATCGTGTCTCGTATGCCCTCCTCAAAGACGTGTGCATCGGAAGAGGTGATGAGGTAATTTTGGCGAATGGCAGCGGCATTCACAGGCACGCTCGAAAGGATATTGATAAGATAGGGTGCGATGGTTGAGCCGGAACACGACGACGGTGGATCGTCGTCGTCGTCATCTTTACGAAAAGCGACAACGCCCGGACTATACATCATGGAATGATCGTGCAGACCTGCACCGTCGGCGTTTAAAAACTGTTTGTGGGTCCGATAGAATTCCTTTGCCTGCGTTGATCGTAAACTAGCTACAAGCGATGTGGATCGTGCAAGGGTTTCTTCTTGTTCGTCGCCTCCATGCAAGAACCCACCACCTGGTCGCTTGGGAGACGCAAAGGACAGGACACCCACGAACGACGTGGGGAGCGCATTGGGATGTTGTCTTGCATACCGCGGGTTTTCGGTAATCAAGTATCTTGCAGTGGTGAGAGTAGACTTGGGTTCGAATCGAATCGAGGTTGATGCGCGAGCGGGCGAGCTTGCCCTATACCCACGCCAGTTGGCAAGGTCAGGGGAGAAATGTGGGTAAAACGTGGTGCCTTGCTGGCTGATGACGATTTGGGGGGCGATGTCGTAGAAAGACTTGACCACGTTGGGGAGTGCGCTTCCCTGGGGATTGACCATGGCCACTGGCATCGCAGACTGGAAAGGTGACGGAGCCACCAAGGGAGGGGAGTGGGTGGAGAGTCTCTCTGTAACATACTTGCCATCACCAAGAATGATCCGCTGGGTATCACGGGCTGTCTCGAGCCACTGCGAGCGTTTCTCGCGTTGGGCTGCGAATGCGACTCTTCTTCGCTGGCGTTTGAAGTACTCTTGCTTGCGCTGCCGCTTTGAGCGGGCGATGGAGACGGATGGCTGCTTTATCGCAGTCAAAGAATGTATGGGAGTGCTGGAGCGTGCCCTACCTTGAGGCACTCTTCGCGTGGACTTTCTTGCCATCGTGTGGGTGGTGGTGATGGTCATGAACATTGTTTGGTGGCAGTGTGTCTTGACACAGATATTTGTATCTATTTCTCGACATTCCCACGCTAGTTTCTTCTATGCCATTCTTTCAGGGCGCGACAAATGTGAATGCTGCGCATGGCACGTTCACAATACTATCGCATCAGTAAATTTGAAAAATTTGGATAATACTATACAATGACATTATAAACTCTACAATTGCCATAATCTCAACAATTATTATCAGCAGGAAGCTAATGATGTATATATGCAGATATAGGTTGAGGAGCATTAATAACAGCTAAAAAGATTATACATAAGTATCTTGAAAGTCAGTTCTTACTGTGAATTAGAATTCATAAGCATTATTAGAGTTGATTTTTTTTTTGAATAGAATTCCATTCAGATATTTCAATCTTCATCCATGCTATATCACTTGATTACAAGTCCTTTCATAAGAAAGGCAAGTCTTTACGTGCGGCTGCCAGCGTGCCTTACTGTAATTCCATTATAACTGATCTGTGGGAATTTTGATCAGCAAATGGTTTGAGGTCGAGCATTTGAACCACACACAGATCAGTTTTATTGTTGTGTTCTTGTTGACGATGATTGGCAATTTGTAGGGACTGACAAATTGATTGTACATTGCAGAAGATACATATTAGTAGTGCTGCAATTGTAGCTATTGTACACTGGCAGGTAGTATTTGCATGCACTCACGTGCACGTAAAAGCACAAGGTAAGAAAGGGTGAGCGAGTACTCACCACTAGTGTTGGTCAAGCTGAGGGTGTTGACTCAGAAGTCCAGATGGGGAGATGAGAACGATGGGGACAGAGGCATGTCATGGCTGCATATCTTTGTCAAGAGTTGTTTGGGGTGCGGATGGCTCGTTCATGTTGTGGATGAGGTGTTTGGGGCATTGTGATGGTGTTTGGGTGCGGATGCATCATTTGGGGTGTTGGGAAAGTGTTCATGCTGCGGTTGAGGCGTCTTGGATGCAGATGCATCATTTGAGTTGTTGGGGAGTTGGTTGGTGCATCAGGATGGTGTTCAGGCTGTGGTTAAGCCATTTGGGGAGTGACTGAGTTGTTGGGGTTGCAAATGGGTTGTTTTGGAGTTGTGACCCTTTCCTGTTGAGGGTACAGATATTTCAAGCTTGCCTCATAATATCCAATATTCCCAGGGGTTTTCCATACATAAAGCGAGGTTCCGGTCCAGTAGTACATCGTCAACATGTTTCCACCGCCACACAGATGGATAGGGTCCCCAGAACAGGCCATTGACAGATTTAGTCATTAAGTTATCAACTTGCATGATCAAGTGAAAAGTGACCCAGGTGGGAATTGAACCCACAATCTCAGGTATTGGCCACCTGCACTCTACCATTGAGCTACCAGACCTTGTATTAGAAGGTAAATCCTGATAGAAGGGCTGGTATGTGGGCATTCCAGCCGGTCACAGGACTCTCTAGGTTTGAGTGTTGATTAACAGATTCGAGCCCAAGTGACAGCCATGTTGCACTGTGAATCAGCGACATACATCCTGTTGTTGGCAGTAACATCACTGATGTCACCACAGACTACCTTTCAAGTCACCACATGTGAATGCAAGGAGGAAGGCAAATACTCACAACACTGTTTCCCATATTCCAATCTGGCAGCAGAATATTCGTATGTGGCATGCTGGTTCAAGCAAGTGTCAACTGTATTGTTCGTCATCCAGTCCAACTCATATGAGAACATTCTCAACCTGTTCCCTGGCTCGCTATTTGATGAGGTATATTTCAGAATATTCATTATGAAAGAGTATGACCACCTACAGAAGGCATCCTTGGTATTGCCATGATCCGGGAAGACTTGTATTCTGGATTGTAGGAGTGGGAAGCGTGGTGACATTGGCTGTCGAAGTGTATACCAAGAGCCAATTGGGGCCACCACATGCCCCCCTATGTGTCCAATATCATTAATAGCAGCAATGCCAAGAAACAGTTGATGCTTACGTTGCGCTCCCTCCACAAGCCATACTGTATTACAGTCACTTTTGGGTGCCACAGTAGCACCATTGACCAAATAATTTCCACAAATTGGGGAATGAAAGAGCATTGACAGCACTCATTGGTGTACTCCATTCCCACTAATGAGTAGCCTGCGTTGTAACAGGCAGTGGTACAGCTTTCAACTGTCACACTACCAGTAATAGTAGCGCCATACAACAGGGCTCGGTTGGTGGTTGAATCACTACAATAATATTATCAGCATAAAGACCTATCAACAAAACCACAATGCACTTATAACATCCAAGTGAAGTCTAGGGAACTGCATGGGTATGGGTAACCCGTGCGGGTATTGGTACCCTTACCCACATGGGTATGGGTATGGGTCATGATTCTGTGACCCACAACATACCCATACCCACAGCGCGGGTCTTGCTGCACATGGCATGGGTTCGCCAATCAAAGTAAACCACAGCCTTGTAATTATACTATATATGTACAAGAACTATATAGCTGTCAAACAAAGTTCATCATGAAGCAGATCAATGTGACAAACACACCCAAATTGATTGGTCTGAGCCATGTACATTCTCATGCCACCCAACATGTTCTCAAAGGCAACAAAGTGTGTCATGAAGCTGACTGAAAAGGCAAAAGTGGCAGTTGAGGAGAAGGTCACCTTGATGTCAAGGAAGAGGAAGAACAGTGATGCCAGCACAGCAAGTGTAGCAGCAGCAGCAGCAGCAGATGAGCGGTCGGAGATGGTGTTGGTGGCAAGGGTGGTGTTGGCCAGGTTATCCGTAGCAGCAACCGTGTCGAAGGTGAGAGGGCGGTAGTCCGACTCGGAGGCGGAATCAGAGTCGGTAACAGTGAGAGTGATGGTGTTGGTGTTGGTCGTTGGGCGGTTGGAGTCGATGTTGGTTTGGATGTCCGAGTTGGAGGTGGTGGTGATGTCGGTTCTGGTGTTGGGGTCGGTGATGTGGTGGTGGATATGGTCGGTCTCTGGATTGGTGATGGTGATGTCATTAGGGTCAGTGTTGGGCTTGGGGGTGGTGGAGAGGGCATCTGGAATGGTAGGGCATAGAGGTATAGAGTCGGGCTTGGTGATGGCAGTGAGGGCAGTGGTGATGATAGGGCAGTAAGAGTGGCGGTGATGGACGTGGTGGATGGTGACGGACTTCGGATCGGTGGTGAGGGTGGTGGTGATGATGATGATAGGTCAGTCAGAGTAGCGGTGATGGTAGTCCGGACTGATGCATCACATCCAGGATATAGTTTGATGAGTGCATCTACAAATGATGCCCAGTCTTGTGATGGTGCTGTGGCTTCAGGAAGCATCTCCCAAAATTCGGATTCATTGAGGTCGGTGTAACAGATGGCAAGCTTGATGCAACTGGAGTTTGGTACTCTGGCCCGGTGTTACAAACGCTACAAGACTTTACCATTTTTCCCCTATTTTTCCCTATTTTTCCTGAGTCCCTACACC